GGTGATGTTAGTGACAATAAAATCTTCCATTTTTACTGGCCGCTTGTACTAACCAAAGGAGCTGCAAGGCAGAACTCTGCCTTGCAGCCAAACTACAGGGGTAATGGTCTCTAAATCGTCTAATAGAGTAACGTAAAACTGTTGCATGGGGCTACATCAATAAATCTCATGGTAATTAAGGGAAAGTGTTTGCTAACAGTTCTACAGCCACCCCGTCTCCCGCTCTGCTCTCTACTTCAGATTCTCTTGGTGCCTTCCTCGTTCGCACCGAGCACGTGAGGTAAAAATAAAAGAAGATAAAATTGTCACTGTGTTGAATTAATCAAGCACCACGCTATGAAGACATATGGGGGAATAGAGGCATAGCTCCAGACAGCAAGAAGCCGAGCAGAAGCAAGCTGCAATCTGAGCTCTGCTTGCGCCTGCTTCTGTTGGCTTCGTTTGACGTACTCTTTCAGTTTAAAGAAGGAGGCGATATATTACTCCAAAACTGCATGCCTTGCACGAACTACACGGTGTTACAAAATATAAGACCATAATCTTCACACTCACCACTGTGAGAACTTCGATCTGATATAGTATTAATTCTGATGGAACTTTTAATAGTGCTGAATGTAAATGCAGGAGAAAAGCGGTCTGTAATCTTTCGTTCAGATCTGAATAAAAATGTTGAATATAAGAAATTAGACACAATGCAGAGAAAGGAACACAGTTTCAAAGTAAACTGCAAGGGATATGGAACAAGAGAGGCAAGAAGTAAAATAAATAAAAGCTGAAAGAAGAAAATTAAAAAAAAAAATGTGACCCTGCGAGTTGTACGAGGCGACGAAAAGGGAAGTCTCAACTGTGAAATAGTAAAATATGGCCGCGAGTCCCAACGGACTCGGACCCGAGAAAGACTGCACTGGCAAGGACCAGCAGCTTATAAAAAAAAAACAGACCCGTCCTCTCGTCAGAGAGGGCGCCCCACAAAAAACAAGACCGTAGTTGGCAAACAGTAATAAATGAGCCCCAGATAGGGCTCGGCACCAAGACTTACTGACTGACTGACTGACAGTCAGTCGCAATGTGACTAGGACTTCAAAAAACTTAATAAATAAATAATAGTTTTAAGAAGCAAGTAGATAAAAGGACGTGGCATGAAAGACTGGGATGTTAAAATAAAAGTGAAGACACCTTCGAAAACAGTACAACAGTGCGGCAAAATTTGAAGAACCCTTGATTGGGGTTGGTGGGTGAAAGACAGAAGGAATAGGGGGGAAAATGAAATAAACATTTCTTAATTTATAGCTTCTGAAACGACACCTTTTCAGCTGCAGAAGTGACATATTGACGAATGACAGGGGCTGATGGTTATGAAATAAAAATCGTAAGAAACTGGAAGTAAGTAGTTTTGTTTATTTCACAGAAATAAGTCGAGATGTTTGTAGCAAACGTGAGACCTGATATGGGACCCGTCCTAACAACGTAGCTGTTAACCGACTAGTATTCGAATATTGTACTTCCCAGATATTGCCGATGTTTTTGAACCTGTCCGTTCTCAACAGAAAGCGTAGTGAATTGTGAGTCCACTTTCAGAGATAAGGTCTTCAAGGTGTGTAAAACGTAAAGATGTAAAGCTATCCATGCAGCAGGCCGTGAAGGACCGTAGGGTTCTGAGACGTCGAGGTTACCACATTTCTCTAGACAAGTGGCTCACAGATGGCGGTGAGATTGTCAGTATTACGCGCCTACCTGTCCTTTACCCCCAGGAAGATTCCTAGTACTCATTTCTGTTAGAGGCTGAGTCGACTCCAGGGCCACAGTGTGGCTTGAAGAATTAGATCAATTAAAAAAAAACAATTGCCGATCACGGTAGCCGAGCGGGCGAAGGCATGTACTGTCTTCGCTCACTTGGAAATCGGGATCGTGGGTTCGAATCGAACTCGCTATCTTTCAGCTTGTAGCGTAGTGTCTCAACCAACTACAGCACCTACACTCCCTCATGTCTTCATGACACAGCGCTTCATTAATTAAGCACTGGGACTGCCTTACCTTCATATTATCTCTAGATGAAAGAGGAATAAAAGGGAAGGAAGAGAAGAGACAGGACAGATAATGAAGAAGAGGAAGGAGATACATGCAAATGAATTACTGATATTGTTGTCCGTAGTACATTTGACAGGATTAATGAGTAATGCAACACTTCGTCACCCTTGAAAATGAACATTCGTCGATGTACATAAATCCTGTAATCTTCTCCCTGTGCTGGACGGAAATGAATGAATTTTGTTGTAATTTGTTAGGAAATAGATCATTGCTGCCCGTGTAGATTCCGGTTAAATACAGAATTAAAAGTCATCTGCTCTATGAACCAGGGTACATCGTACATCGCGTAGGCAAACCGTTGGAAAGAAAGGTCTTGTAAAAATTTATCTGAATACATAGAAAATGAGGTTATAGTGATTATACCAGTGATTATAAAGGGTCCCATCTTCTTGGATATAATGCAATATAGTCTTTTGAAAATCAACTGACGATTCGGAGTAACATGCTACCTATATTTTCAACGTCTAAGAATAAGCCAATCAAGAAACCAGCATTAAGCAGGCAGAAAGCAGAGGTTCTCGGCACGGACCACGCAGAAAACACGATTCATGTGTCAGACTGCTTGTTCACTGGTCCGCTACAAGCACTGGGCATTGCGCGGACCTCATAGAAATTACCTAATCTATTGTCCTTTATAAACACTTGGCACGGACCACTGCAGAAAACGCATCCTCTCTATTGTCGTTGGACATTACTGTGTACGCTATAATGTGTTTAACGTGAATTGCATAGCAACGGTTCGTGGGCGGACCACAGAAAGCACTGTTCCTGTATTGTTGATCGCCTGTGTGTTGCGGGCGTTGCCTAGCAGTGGGCCGACACGTCACAGTAATATAACTAAATACTGAGTAATTATATTGATATGCAAAAGGACATGTTGTCAAGCGTCTTTAATCCTTTGCAGGTGAGTGGCAGCAATGTGTATCGCTTGCTTTGATACATGTATTAACATTTCAAGTGCCGAAAACGGAAAATTTCAACTTTCGCAAGAAAGCCTGAGACATCTGTTGGTATTTTATCTGAACTGAAAATCAAGAAAAATTATAAAGGCGTATTTAACCAGTGCTTCAAAGCCTTGGGTATCTCTTATATAGGCCTGTATACCATCTGCTCATGAATTATGCGGTGCTTTGATCTCGAAGTATAGAAACTAATACTCCGATCTCTGGGGTAAATAACGCAGCCCATGGGATTATTTTTCCGGTTGATTTGCTTCTCACAAAACACAGCCATTATTTTTTCTAAACATCATCCGACTGATCATTATAGTGCTCATGCGATAAGTTTTCTGCGAGGTAAGAACCAGTTTGTGAGCAGAATATTTGGACCGAGGAGAGATGAAGTGACAGGAGGTTGGAGAAAACTGCACAATGAGGAGCTTCGTAACTTGTGCTCTTCTTCGAGTATAATTAGGATGCCAAAGTCAAGGATTATGAGATGGGCAGGCCATGTAGCACGAATTGGGAGAAGATTAATGTATACAGGATATTGGTGGGAAAGCCAGAAGGAAAGAGACCACTGGGAAGACCAAGACGTAGGTGGATGGACAAAGTTAAAACGGATCTGAGAGAAGTATGATGGGATGGTATGGAATGGACTTATCTGGCTCAGGATAGGAGCAAGTGGAGGTCTCTTGTGAACACAGCAAAGAGCCTTCAGGTTCCATAAAATGCTGGGAAGTTCTTGAGTGGCTGCACAATTGGCGGCTAATTAGCTTCGAATTTTACGACGCTGTCAGTGCTTAGATTATTCAGCGTCGAATTTTACGAGGCTGTTAGTACTTAGAGAATACAGCGTCTAAATTTACGACGTTGTCAGTACTTAGAGAATGCAACGTCTAATTTTACGACGCTCGCAGTACTTAGAGTATACAGCGTCAAATTGTGTGACTCTGTCATTACTTACAGTATACAGCGTCGAATTTTACGACGCTGTCATTTCTTACAGTATACAGCGTCGAATTTTACGACGCTGTCATTACTTACAGTATACAGCGTCGAATATTAGGATGATTCATGAATTGAAAAGAATTTGGAAGGAAGCTATCAGTGACAGATCGGGATGTTATGCGAACATTTACCTCAATAGTCTGAGGAATACCACGGAAAATAGTCAGGATAAGAGGTGTCCCTGCCTAGATTCGAAACAAGAACCCCCCCCCAATCAACTCGTTCTTCAAGTACTGTATGTTTTATAATGAAGTCCTTGGAGGCATAACGGTCATATAAAAGTTGAAAAAAAAGCTCACCCACTCATGGAGCTGAGCCATTCCTGAGGAGCAGCCAATTCTGCAGCTACTCAAGAGCTTCCCAGCATTTTTTGGAAACTGAAGGTTCATAAGAGCCCTCCACTAGTCCCTATCCTGAGCCATATCAATCCAATCCATACCATCCCATCCTATCTCTCTAAGATCCATTTTAATATTGTCCACCCACCTACGCCTTGCTCTTCCCAGTTGTCTCTTTCCATCTAGCTTTCCCACCAATATCCTATACGCATTCCTCGTCTCCCCCATTCGTGCTATATGTATATATTGTATACTCATATATATATATATATATATATATNNNNTTAAACTACGAGCAGGGTAGCAGCTACGTAAGAATATACACCTGATGATGGCCATTTAGGGTCGAAACATGTAGTGTAGAGGAAGGAAAGAAGAAAGAACTACAATTACATTGTTGCACTTAAGACGGAGTTTGTCTCATATATTGTGTGAGTGTAACAGGATGCTTAAATATAATATATATGTATATGTATATATATATATACATAAGTCATCACATGGAAAAATAGAGTCCTGAAATATTTTGGTGCAACAGATGGACAGACACACTCACTGTGCTGGAAGTAAGGGAAGCGGGACGCGTGTTGATTGTGACTTACTTGAGGACTTGGTTATGTTGCAGAGTGGACATAAACGAGGCGCACCGAAACGGCAGCTTCTACCAGTGCTGCTCCGGCTTCTGCATAGACCTTCTGGAAAAATTCGCTGAAGAACTCGGTTTCACTTACGAACTTGTCAGAGTCGAAGACGGGCGATGGGGAACGCTAGAGGTGAGTAACTCTTGCTTAATTTAAACGTAGGTTAGAAATAAAGGGCTATTTTAAGTGATTTGGACTAAAATAAATTAGTGCAGTTTCGAAACGGTTACAAACACAATATGAAACAAATTAAAACAGCAAGGAAATCCGTTTAAGCTTTCATTTGCAACATTGATTAACATATCCGCCGCAAGTGGCGCTGCGATAATTCTCAAAGGGAAATGGCGTCTCAGCGCAAAAGACCTTGATATGACCAGCAAGGCCCACGCACTGGCCCCCTACATCTTCGGATCTTATTGTGAATATGCGATAGAGCAGGTGTACCAACCTCCGAAGCCGCAATCCCTTCGAGAACGAATTTCATAGGGCGTTACCAACGTGAATGAGTCACATTGTGACGTACACGGACAGAATTCGAATATCGCGTTGACATTTGTAGATTAACTAATCGAGCACTTACCGAACATCTCTAGATAAATTTGTTAGTTTCACGTTTTTCATATTTGTATCTCTAACCTTTTCTTAAAACACACTAATTCTTATCACCAAAATCGTTTATAATGGCCCTGCATACCTGTATGAATATGTTGCAGTAATGGTAACATAACCAGAACTCCATAAACTGTACTCTTCAGTGAGCGGTAATGGTCCTTTCAGGTCAGTCATTTTTGTAGAATTTTGTTTTGTGGTTCTTTATGAATAATGCAGCACTGCAGAGGAAATGAGCAAAATGTTACCTTAATCTACTGTGGCGTGCCGCCAAAAAGGATAGAAGACACGTCCATTGATAGGCAACGGGTGCGATAAGAATGTATACTTCAGTGGAAACGCAATACCAGCAGATCGTTGCATAGGAATCGCCCAAATAACAAATGATTTCCCCGGATATGAAAGGATATTCATGGAAACGAATACTACCAGCGGATAAAACGGAACCCTTGAACACGATGTTCACTAGTCAGTCCGAGTGCACGTTATAGAAGACCAGCTTCGACGAGACCAGTCAGTTTTTAGTGTAGCTCCGACTACAGCAGAAGCCAGCTCGCATCCGACAAAGGGATCAAGACACTTCACCGAGATTAGCGGTGCAAGTAACTGTCATAGTGAAGTTGTGAATAACTGTAAATAGATTGTCCAATAAACGTTTTAGCCAAATCCGAGACCCGCGTCATTTTGTTTGTCGCATTATACAAGCAACACGCGACAATACTTACTACTCCATTTCTCGTCTTTGTTCCTCCTATCTCCGCTTCTCTTCCTTTCATCCCCTCCTCCCTGTGTTTCAGTCTCTCTAGAATCCACCTTGTTCATATCTTACACCTTATTTCTGCCTTTCTCAGCTCCTCATCTTCCCCGTTTTAATCTTCTTCACCCTTTTTCTTCTGAGACTATTTTTCGTTTCCCTTCAATTCCTCATTCTTCCCCTTATATCTCTTATTCTCTTCTATCTGTATCTTTATTCACTTCTACTGTTTATCCTTCCTTCTCTATTTCATCATTATTTGATGGTGCTACGAGCAACTTCGACTATTTAGCATAATGATAGGATGAGTCACGAATAATTAACTGGAAATGATGTGGACGTGATTTAGCGTGGCCTGATTTGATCTAGGATCCCTATATCTGACTAAAAAGAGCAAGAAAACCACGAAAATCCCTCATTCATTAAGCTTAGTGACCCAGTCCAGATTCGAACCAGACGTCTCGTCAGTACAAGCTAGAAGCGCTTCCGCTTGGCATGCCTAGCTCGCTGTCAGCACTGGCAGAATCATCCTGTTCTTCTTCTTCTTACATATTCCAGTCAGCACAGTTGCGGGTTCAGTGTCTGTAAGAGATAAACAGCCGCAGATCCCCACGTTCGGAAACCCTGATAATACGTAATTTCCGTTACTTTACTCACGAATTTGTTGTCCTAAGTTCAAGTCAGCCGGTCACGGTAGCCGAGCGGTCTAAGGCATGCACTGTCATCGCCCGCTTGGAAACCGGAATCGTGGGTTCGAATCCCACTTAGGGCATGGATGTTTGTGTGCATTTTCTGTGTTTTTATACAGGTAGACGCCTTGCGACGAGCTGATCACCCGCCCAAGGAATCCTGTCGTATGGCTAAGATCTATGAAACTGAAGTGAAACGGAGAGTAATGGAGGTAGGCCTAGGTCGAAATTGGGGCTGTAGCGCCAATGAAAATAAAAGAAAGTTCAAGTCAAGCCGTGTCACAGCGGCTCCTACAGAGGAAGTAATGGAGGAAGATTGAAGCCTTCACGGCTAATAAATACACTAAAATATCTTCGGGTCATTACCTGCGTCATATTGAGTCAAATACTAAAGTTTCAGAGATCTCCTTCTGCATCATCAAGGTCAAACGTTGGTTTTTAACTCAACATTGACACGACTAATCACCCAAAAAGATTTTAGCGCTAGAGAAGATATATTATATAAAAATGTTTTGGTAGATACAAATAAGAACACAAATTTCATATCATTTTCATTGAATTTCATGAATTTCGGTATATGCATTGCACGTTGCTTTTGAAGCATCAAAATAATATACGTAAATCTTCTCTTCATATGCGTAATATTTCAGTTGCAGCATAGATTCTGTTTACTGATTCAGATTTCCGAATTTTTCGGAGTTAGGTAGCGTAGTTGGTATAGCGACTGGCTACGGGCTTAACGACTGAAGGGTCGGAGTTCGAGTCACGATAGGGTCAACAATTTTCTCCAAATGGTCCAGTCGGGCTCTGGGGTCCACCCAACCTCCTATCCAATGGGTACCGGGGTCTCTTTCCTCGTGGGTAAAGCGGCAGGGACGTGAAGCTGACCACTCACCTCCAGCTAGTGCCGAGGTCAACAAAAAGTGGATCTATCCATCTACTCCTCCATACGCCTTCATAGCATAGTGCCTAATTCGTTGAACAGTGACAGCTTTACCTAACTTCAGAAAATGTTTTTGATATACTCCCAGAACAGCAAGCCTGCAACCGTTAAATCGGGTTCCCACAAGATTGAGCCACTTCTGTCCATATATTTACCCCGAAAATTTGTATTTAAAGCAACCCTTACATTGTTACAGCATTGTTGGGGGAAATATCCGTCTTGGAGCGGGAGAACAGCGTTGACGTATTTATTAATGTCATACGTTACAACATTTCAATATTAGTGTTTAGAGTCACGCCATAACTTTATGGAAACCCTGCATAAGTAAACGTGTTGTTCGAGATAAACTGCGTGCCATGAAGGCGTATGAGAAGGTAAAGCTATCCCTCTAACAGTCCGTGGAGGCCCATAGGGTTGTGAGACGTCGAGGTTCGCAGATTTCTCTAGACAGTCGGCTCACAGATGGAGGCAAAGTTGTCAGCCTTACGCGCCGGCCGCCCTATGCCCCCAAGAATATTCCTAGTACTCATTTCTGTTAGAGGCTGAGTTAACCCCACGGCCATAGTGCGGTTCCATCTCATCGGAACTCGAACCCGCGACCGTCTGACTTGTAACATAGTGCCTCAACAAACACGCTACAGCGTGCCCTCGACTTATGAGAAGAGAAAAGTTATAACTTCTGCCTTACATGATTACCTTCAAGATCACATACAGAGACAGGCTTTCATGGTCTGACTTTTCGTAATTTGCAAAGTCGATCTATATAGTTGTTTGAAAAAGACGTGGTCCACTTCCGTTCCCCCCCCCCCTTGGCACTACAGCCCCAGTGGGCCTGGGCCTACCTTCATGAACTTCTCCGTTCACTTCGGTTTTTCTAGATCTTACAGAATCGGCAGGACTCCTTGGGCGGGTGATCAGCTCGTCGCAAGGCCTCTACCTGTAGACAAACACAGAAAAACAGACACACAAATTAAACATCCATGCCCTGAGCGGGATTCGAACCCACGATCCCGGTTTCAAAGCGAGCGAAGACGGTGCATGCCCTAGACCGCTCGGCTACCGTGACCGGCCCACTTCCGTTCCACACCTGTAAATACATTATCTACCAAAAATAATGCCGGGATTTCAAACTCTTGCGACTCAGGAGCAAAAACAAATATGGCGATGCCGTTACTTGCAGTATGATGGTAAACTCGGAACAGTTTCACCGACACAAGTTGCGCGCGCATCTCAGCTGTGATTAACGGACAGCGCGAACAATACAATATATACTGTAGAGGAAAACATAATTTCACATCTGTGAACGTGTCATAGTGTATCATCATTAGTCTGTCTGTCCTACTGTATCATTCCGTTTTTCCCAAACGACCTGTCGTAGAAAAACCGGCAAACACTTCTACTCTTGGGATGATTTCCCAGAGACAATTACTACTTTTGCTGCTACGCGCGTGGGTTCGAGTCCAGACTAATTCATGTCCTCTTCCTTCCTTCCTACGAAAGGCATTGGGGTCGTGTGAACAACAAGAACATGAAGTTCTTTTGTTTTGGAGTAACTATAATATCGAATGGCCGCGCCAAATCTCAAGAGGTTAGTCGCTGGCTTCCCACCGCGGCGGCCCGGGTTCAGTCCCGGGGGCAGGTTTTCTCCGAGTACTTCGGTTTCCTTTGCCAATCTTCATTCCACCAAATTCTCCATCATCATAATCATCCAGGGCAGGCTACAATGGGCCAATCAGTGGCCGCCGTGCCGAGTGGACCCAGTTGGTCTCCACCCCTCATTAAGAGAATTAAAAAAGAAACATGAGATCGGGTCGCCGTTACATTGCTTTATGGGGCGGTGTGTAACAAGGAATATTTTCGGGAAATGGAATATAGGTTTTTCTTTACGCAATTGATGACTGCTTCATTTTCATTATTGGTGCATCACCTATCGTTCTGCCCTATATAATCGCTGCGGTTCAGAATGCGTCCATAAATAAACGAAGAATCGACCATCTAAGCAATTGATTATTCGAGTATTCGTTTCATATTTTGGTACCTGGAAATTTACATTGCAATTACTGTGTCTCGTGTGGTGAAGCGTGTTTCCATATACCCTGTCCATTTCCACGAAGCATTTCGCGAAATAGCATGCTAC